AACCCGAGGCAGCAGCTTCGCATCCTGTCAGTTGTCATGTGAGAAAGGAGAACCCCTTGCTAGAACCTCCTTTCAGGGAGTTGTAGAGAGTGAAGAGGTCTCCCCTCAGCCTTGTGTTCTCCAGACTAAACTGCCCTAGTTCCCTCAGCCACACCTCATAGGTCTTGTTTTCTAGCCCTTCATTCTTCCCTGCACACACTCAAGCAACTCCACGTCCTTCTTACAGTGAGGGGCCTAGAACTGAACACAGCTCTCAAGCTGTGGCCTAACCAGCACTGAGTACAGATGGACAATCACTTCCCTAGCCCTGCTGCTCATACTATTTCTGATACAAGCCAGGAGCCACTGGCCTTCTTGGCCATCTGGACACACTGCTGGCTCGTTTCAACCAGCTGTTGACCAGCACCCCCAGGTCCTTACCCACTACTAGGCTGTTTTCCAGCCTCTCTTCTCCCAGACTGTACTGCTGCATGGGGTTGTTATGACCCAAATGCAGTACTCGGCGTTTGGCCCTGTTGAATGGCAAACACAGCCCATCAATTCAACCTATCCAGATCCTTCCTGTCTTCATGCAGATCAGCACTCCCACCCAACTTTTGGGTCAGACCCAATGAGGGGGCACTCAGTCCTCTCAACCAAGCCAGTGATAAAGATGTTAACTAAAACTGGCCCCAATGCTGAGCCCTGAAGGATTGGGGGTCACCAGCTGGATTTAATTCAATTCACAGTGACCCTTTGGGCTGTTACTACCACTTGCCTCGAGATGTTTGTGTAAAAGGCACAAAACAGAGCAATCACTAACAAGGCAATTACATCCAGAGCTGAGTCCTGAATTAGTCACTCGCTTTTTGTCCCACAGTATTCACATCTTGGAAACGGTCACATTTTCCCCATGTTGGTGGCAAAACAGAGAGATCACGTGGAAAGGAGAGGCTGAAATGGCAGGTGGTGGCTAACCATTTTTGTACTCTGAACTATCAAGATGATTGCAACACTCGTAAACCCAGGAGGTCACATTGTAATACCTTGCAAACGTCCTCAAAGCTTTTCAGAGAGCATTCCAGGGTTAAAATTAATCCTAGTACAAACTTTAAAAAATCAGACCCCAACGGAATAAAGAACCCTTGAGAGGTGAGCTGAGCTCTCGCCTGCTACTTTTTGCCATTTCCATGTGGAAGCAAAAGCAGGTGGGAAAGGAAGGCAAGGGAGTGGATCAGCCAGCACCAAGGTTCTGCCTGCCCTTGGCTGCCACTGTGTCATGTATCATGCAGACAGGGGTCACAGCAGCTGGGGGGATGCTTGGGGGCCTCCAGTCCAGCATTCTCCCTTCTGCCCAGTCAGGCGGTGTCTTCTGGGTGTGCAATGAGAGAATACAAAGCTTATAAACGTGTTTAGCATTGCTTACTCCCAGGGAACCCTGCTTTGGTTTTGGAAAAGAAAGGAAAAACAATACAATCTGTGTGTGTGGTCACATCACGTGCTGCTATACATGGAAGGAAACGAAATGATGCACTGAAGAGGCAGGCATCACTGCAGAAAGTTAGTTAAATATCCGCTGGTGAGGTGAGCAGTCTTTGTATAATTTGTAGGTAAATCAATGAAGGCAAACAAGAACAGTCTATTAAAAAGGAAATTATTTAAAATAAATAGATGGGGCTATCATGGTGATTTTTCATTCAAATCTAGTTCAATTACTTTCTGTATCTCTGTGCACTGTGAGAAGAGCTAACAGAGGAATGGCAAAAAGCTAGAAAAACGGGTAGCTTGCAAAGGCTGAAGAGGGAACAGAATTGTCACTGTGTAAAGACAAAATGATCTGTACTGAAGTTCAAACAGAAAATAGTTGCTTTTTTTTTACATGGCACACTAATGAACTCACTCAGCATTACCACAAGGTGTTGTGGAGGCCACGAGCAAGAGGGGGGTCTCACGGAAGGCAGAATGAATTCACGAAGTGAAATTTGATAGTGGCAACGATCACAGTATGGCTGTAGAACCTCATAAAATTGCTGATTCCCAGAGGCCAGATGAAGGCACACCAGAGATGGAGCGATTTTGCTCTGCCTTGTCTGCTGGAGGGTGGTCACAGCTCCTCAGCAGTGAGGCAGTGCAGTGCGTGGACGTGGCAGCCATGGCCATCCCAGGCTGTCCCTGTGATGATGCTGGGCACCTTCCCACAAGGGCCAGGACAGGATCCATCATAAGGCAAGCCTGTGGTCAGGCACCAGCTGTGATTCCTAAAATCAAGTTGTTTTTTTTTTTTACATCATTATTTACAAATCACTGCAATCAATTTGCTAGATTTCACAACTGCTTGTGGGCTACTGGTTTTCTTTCCAGAGCAATCCTATAGCCCTTTCAGCAGAAAGACAGTCCATACTAATAGACATTTGCATACATACAGACAGGGATTGGAACAAGGTGAGCTTCCTGGTCTCTTCCAACCCAAGCCATTCTGATTCTGTGATTTAATATATCCTTGCACGGTTTTATCTGGGGTGCTTCCTCTTGCTAGATACCTGCCTAGCCCTGCACTGCAGGCAGCAGGGGACACGTGGAGGTTGCAGGGCACATCCACACTGACGTTCCCATGCAGCGGTGTGGCAATACGTGCTTTAGCCTGGTTGTTACTACGTAAAAATCCCCAGAGAAAAACTGCGTTTGGTGCAACCAAACTGGGAATTGAGAACAGGGCACGCAGGAAGCCATAAACTTTCGGGTTAACTTCTCCCAGGCCTCACCCTTCCCCCTTCTCTCTCGGATTCTGCTCAGCAGCACCGCCCGGGGCGGCACACACAGCAGCGGGGTTTTGGGGGGGGCACGGAGGTGCCACGCTTTTGCTTTGCAAGAGAAAAGCTTCAGTCGGGATGCGCCGGGCAAGCATCAGCGTGGGGAAGACCGTCCTCGCACGGGATAGAACGGAAGGAAAACTTGGCTAAAAGGGGGAGGGGAAGACCTCGGCTCTGCGGTTCTGGGAGGGCACGGAGAGAGCAGTGCCTGCAGCAGAGGGGGGGCGAAATCCCGGCCCGCCCCGCCGCCAACCGGAGGCGGAGTCCGAGCGAATCACCGCGCCGCGGGCGGGACGGGGCAATGAGGAGGAGCGCAGCCGGGGTTAGGGTTCAGTTCCAGCTGATTTTATTTCCTTCCCGAAGAAAACAAAAACAAAAACAAAGAGGTTATTTACAGAAGGTATATCGACAATCTGACAGGCAGTGAACGTGACATGGTTAGCTGGCATGATTTTTTTTTTTTTTCTTCCTCTTCTTTCCCAACGTTGCTTTGTGGGTGATCGTTAGACAAAAAAAAAATAAGAAATTTAAAAAAAAATAAAAAAAAATAAAAACAAAAATTCTACACAGCATATTGCACAGGATGGATGACCAAAAAAAAAATAATAATAATAATAAAATAAAATAATAACAATAAAAGCGAAACCCTTAACGGAACCACCTCGTTCGGCAGACGTCCCCGTGCCTGTCATGTTATATTAACATACATAAACACACAATCTTCTTTTTTGCTTATTATAATACAGACTTAAATGTACAAAGATGTTTTCACTTTCTTCATCTTAAACACAACAGCTATAACCTGAATACATATGCTATCATCATGCCATAGGAGACTAAAACAATTATATTTAGCGACAAGTAGAAAGGATTAAATAGTCAAATACGAGAATGAAAAACGCAGTACATAGTGTCGCGAACTCAAACCGGCATTTCGATAGATCCAGTGGTTTAAAACGGCACGGCTTTGCTTCGAAAAAAAGTGCAAAAGATGTGGTTTACGAGTTAAAGGTACAGGATCCCTTTCCGCGCTGAGGCTCCGGTTCCGCGTTTCGTTTTGGAAACGTTGCCAACCCAAACGGCTTACCGGAGCCCTCCTCCCAGTCCCCTCCGGCCCCATCCGCTACGAGAGGGGCGCGGTGCGGGATGCTGTGCCTTTAAGTGCCTGCAGATCGGAGCGCGACGCGGGCGGAGGGGCGGGCGGGCGGCGATGTGCGCGCACCGCGTGTCCGGGGCCCTGCTGCCCGTGTCAGGAAATCCAAACAGCGATTAACACCGATTTACACCCCCTTTATATATTTTTTACAAAAATACACTGAGAAAATAATCGAACGTTTTTCATCTCTCT